TGAGTTCATCAATTCAAGAGTTCCCTCCAGGGATGCCAATCAACCTATCTATGTCTTCCCATCCTATGTAACTCTCATCCATGTCCTTCTCAAAATTTACCACATGATGTCATCTCAATATACTGGAGGCTTCTCTCATATTCTCCTAACAAGTCAGGAGTACCAATGAACCCACTCACTTGCTAGGAAACGTGCAGTTGCTAGGACGATCCTCAGGAATTTTTTAATGGAAAAGATTCATACATCCTGGACCTAACCAAGACACCTAGATGGTACAGGAAATAGATTACTAGAACTGAAACCAAGAAAACGGGGGCTCAAATACAGCCTCAAATACTGTGTGTGACCCTGAACTAGTCATTTAACATATCTCAGCCTCAGCTTCCTCTTTGATAAAATAGGGATAATAATAGTGCCTACCTCCTAGGGTTGTTGTGAGGATCAATGGTGTTTGTCAGGTGCTTTTCAGATTTTGAAGCGCTATATAAATACTAGCTATTGTTATTATTCCTCTAGAATAAATCCTAACTCATACCATAGGTTCATGTATTGTTTCTGATCTATGTTTTTTCTGACTAATAAAGACTTATATGTACAGTTTTAGAAAAAAAAAAAGAGTACCAATGTAACTGCCTGGCTATCCACCTGGCATCCCTTACTCCAGCCATGGGATTGGCTCATCTTTTCTTTCTGTCAGGTGATATCCCTTCCTCCTGCTATTCTTCAGAGTAACTCACTGGTTATATGTTACATCCTAGTGCCACCTACCCTATGCCCCACTACTACCTTCTGTGGGTTCTCATCTTTATTTCTTCAGTAGCAGTGGTATTACAGGCCTCGCTGCCATCAAATATTTTTTATTCTATTTTATTTTCATTTCCAAATTCTCTCCCTCCCATTGAGAAGGCAAGAAAAACAAAGCCCATGACAAGTATGCAAAGTCAATCAAAACAAATTCCTGCATTAGTCATGTCCAAAGAAGAAAGAGAATTAAAGAAAAGAAAATATGCTTTACTCTGCACTGAGCCCATCAGTTCTCTATCTCTCTCTCTCACAATTTATCATGAGTCTTTTGGAATTGTGGTTGGTCACTGTATTGACCAGAGTTGTGAAGTCTTTCAAAGTTGATTATACTTAAAATTTTATTGTTATTTGTAAAAATCGTTCTCCTTGTTCTACTCATTTCACTTTGTATCAATTCATATAAGTCTTCCCATGTTTCTCTGCAATCAAACTTTCTCATTTCTTATAGCACAACAGTACTCCATCACATTCATGTACCATAACTTGTTCAGCCATCCTACAATTGAAGGGCATCCCCTCAGATTCCAATTCTTTGCCACCACAAAAGGAGCCGCTATAAATATTTTTGTACATGTGGGTCCTTTTGCTCTTTCTTTGACTTCTTTGGGATATAGATTTAAGTATCACTAGGTCATAGGAATGCAGAGTTTAATAGCCTTGGGAGGATAGTTCAAAATTGCTTTCCAGAATGATTACACTAATTCACAATTCCATCAACATATTTGTTTTCCCATAGCACTTCCGGCATTTGTCATTTTCCTTTATTTGTTATTTCAGCCAATCTGTTGGGGGTGAGGTGGGACTTGAGAGTTGTTTTAATTTGTCTTTCTCTAATTATTAATGATTTAGAGCATTTTTATGCGGCTATTGATAATTTTGATTTCTTCCTCTGAAAATTGCCTATTCATACCCTTTGCATATTTATCAGTTGGGAACAGCTCTTATTCTTATTAATTTGACTCAGTTTCTTATGTCTTACAAATGAGATCTTTATCACAGAAATAGAAACTTGCCACAAAGATATATCAGATTTATTTTTACACCTAGATTAAGTATAATTAATCAATCTAAATGTACATATACTTCCATAGATCCATAACTTCATCAATATTGGTACTTTTTTCACCAGTAGAGATCATGACTCATTCATGTTTTCTCATTCTATGTGACTTTCATCCATGTCATTCATAAATCCTTTATAAAGATCTCCCCAACAACTAGAAGCCTTCCTTTCAATCTTTTAGTATTTCATGAATACCAGTGCAACACTCATTCTATTCTATTATCCTTTATTTTTATTGTATTACCAGGCCATCTTCTTTTCCAGTCAGATGTCTTTTTTGCCATTTCTTATTCAAGTCATCATTGGTAATATGTTGCAACCTACTCATAACAACTACTCCTTAACTTTCCAAAGACCTGACTTTTCCACTTGACTCTTCTGAGACCAAGATATTTCATAATTCATAGCCACATGGAAGCACAGAAGAGGCAAAATGGCATAAATAAAGTAGATAGAGATCTGGCCTTGAAGCCAGGAAGACCTGGATTCAAATCCTGCCTCCAACACATATTAGCTGTATTCTCTGGGCAAGTCACTTAACCTCAGTTTTCTAAGTAAACCTCTAGTCAGACTGACTAGTCAGTCAGTCAGTGAGTGAATAAACATTTATTAAGCACCTCCTATGTGCTGGGCACTGTGTTAAGCATTTTACAATTATTATATCATTTGATCCTCTCAACTATGGATGTTAGGTACTATTATTATCTCCACTTTACAGATTAAGGAAAGTGAGGCAAACAGAGTAACTTGCCCAGGGTGACACAGCTTGTGTCTGAGGCCAGAATTTAACTCAGGCCTTCCTGACTCCAGGCTCATTGCTCTATCCACTGAGCTACCTGAAAATCCATTTTTAAGAAACTAAGTGGTCTACACAAAATTAAAACATATTTCTGGCCCACAATCCTTGGTTTTGTTTGCAAGACTATACAGCTGTTTTGTGTCTGGTCTTAGAATTCTTCAAAATGTCCCCTGTAATTCTGATTACAAATGGAACAAGCCCAGATGCATATAGGGCACGTGAGTCATGCTAGTGCTTGTGCGCACACGCACACACACACACACACACACACACACACATCAGCTAAAGTAAATGGGAGGCCATAAGGAGATACACCATCACTAGGTCTGCTTGCTCATTAAAGTGGAATGAATTGGCACTTTTAGTTAATAACTAATTTCATCCTAGCAGTATCATAGTTGGGTACTCTTGGTACTTCTGCTAGGGAGGTCTCAAATTGATTTCTCTTCCCTTTTCAGAGAGGATGTGGTGAAAGAGGCAATTGTTCTGGATTAAAGCAACAGAAATAGATTCCAGACACAAACTAAAAAAGTCAAGGTGCCATATGAGTAGTGGTTTCTTACATGAGTTCTGTGTGAGTACTGTAGGCTAGCTATTGATAGAGCTATTTTTCTACAGCATCTTTCTCTGAATTAAAGAATGTTTTTGTTCCCCAGGACAACAGTAGAAGGTCACAGTGGTTTTGTGGGAAGGGGAGGGGAAAAGTAACAAGCACTTATTAAGCACCTACTATATTCAAGGCACTATGCTAAGCATTTTACAAATATTATCTTATTTGATACCATTTGATTTGTGGTAATCTGATACAATAAAGATTTGTAGATCATAGGGTGGCTAAGTTATATTTCAGGTGGAATGTGGAGGAAAAGTAATAAGGGTATGAGGGCATCCCAACCAGTTAAATATTATTATCCAGGTAATTCTGAGATCTGAACTGGTTGACAGTGAGTTCAGGGCTACCACCTTACCCCTCTCTATGGTTCATTGTCATTTCAAGAGACTTTAAATACCGATGAGCCATGGAGACAGTGAAATATTAACTCTTCTCTTCTATTCTATGGTAAACACCTTTAAATGCTGGTGCTCTCCACAAAGCCAATACGCTTAACTGTCTCATTATCGCAGTAGAGTGGTACAACAAGGTCAGTGCCTCACTACTCCACTATATGCCATAATCTTCCCCACTCTTAATCTTTGCTCTCATAACCAATCAGCACTTCCCTCTCCCCATTCTCGTCTCTCAAAGTATAGCAGTAAACTGAGCACACTGACTCCTCATCACAAAAACAAAACAAAACAAAAAAAAAACGTGTTGCAGACTGTTGAAAGAAATGCTATCAGAAAAAAAGTTATAGAAAATATATTTTTAAAATGCTATAGAAAACAAATTAACCCAAATTGCCTACTCTTGGATATTTTTACATCACCAAAAACTTGGGTTTAACCTCGCACGGTCCCAGCACCAGTCTCATCTTGCCATGGCTCAAGCCCTGGCATCAATCTGCCAGGGTGGTCTCTTCCTTTTCTCCCTTATTAGAATGTAACCTCCTTAAGGGCAGAGACTATCTTGCTTGCTTCTATTTTTCTCCTCAGCTCTTAGCTCTAGCACATCTCAAGAATTTAATATATGCTCTAATTATCTGTTTATCTATCCATCTATCTGAATGCTTGGCAACAGACTGCTCAGGTTAATTGGATTTTCCGATTCATCAATGCTTTCTTTCTATGAAAAATCTTCCCCTCAAATATGGGGAAGATATTTACTTCTAGCAAGTAATTCCTTCTTTATAAAGTTGAGTATAATTTAATCTTTCTTTGATAGTCATCATTATTAAAATTAGTTTTCATCATGTAAGAACACAAATCTAGGAAGATAAACTAAATCTATATTGGTTCTGTGTCATTCTCTGGAAGGCTTTTTTTTTTTAAACTAAATCCTTGCTATGAATTTGTGCTCACTGTTACATAAAGACAGACTGGTGCACTAACAATTCTGCATATTGGAGGGCTCCAATTAACCCTGGTTTGTAAAGCCACTTGAATTCTAAGAGGTGATATAATGATAGGAATTAGACCAGAGGCATCCAAATCCCAAGACTGGCTGAACCTAATTAAAATGTAATTAAGGCATATTTAACAAAATAAACAAAAATACAATATGACATAGATAATGTTAATTTGTGATTTTCTAAGTCAACATGCAGTCTGCACAGATTGGTTTCTTTTGAATTTGACACCACTGAATTAGACTAACTCTCATATAATTAAAACAGTATAGACAGATATAGCCTTGAAAGGGTAAATTTTATAACATACTCCAAAAGCATACTTTACCTTAACTCCTAGGGCTTCTCCTGAGATAACAGATATTGTCACACCATTCTTGCTGAGTTTGGGGATTTCTTTACTTTTCAGTCCTTGATAGTGAGGCTCCACCATCTTTTCTGAACTCCTCAAATTGACCCACAGTTGTAGACCATGAGCAGTTTCCTCAGAGCAAGGCATTTCTGCATGCAGGATCCCACGGCCAGCAGTCATCCACTATAAACAAAATTTCAGAGGAAACAATGAAGAAAAAATGTTGAACCAATATCCAAATGACCCAAACACCCAGAACAGTGCTTGAGCACTCAATGAAAAAAAAAGTTAAAAGGATTTTTAATCCAATTTTAAAAATTAAATCATTTCATTCTCTTTAGTGATAAACAGCTCTTATTTATAACATTGACAAAATCACAAAGAATCAAGAGATATAAGGTGACAGAATCATTAACTCATAGACTCTTGGACTGAAAGGGACTTCAGAAGGTTATCTAATCCAGCCTCTCCCATAATGCCAGGATTCTGTCTGCATCCATGACAGATATTCACCCATCTTCTACTTGAACACTGGTTCTCCTTTCTGAGATGAGACAAAATAAATTCAGTCTTTCTGTCTTTCACCTGATAGTACTTCAAATATTTGAAGAAAACAATCATGTCCTCCCTAACCCTTCTCCTCTTCAGCTCCTCAACTATTCTTCATATGACATAGTCCACAGTGTAGTAGGAAGAATGCTGGACTTCAATTTAGGAGAGACCAGAATACAAATATTGTCTTTCTACTTTCTAACTGTGTAACCTTAGGTATGTCACTTAATTTGTTTGGACCTCAGCTTCTTCAATTATAAAATGAGGGGAAGGGGATGCACTAGATGGCATCTAAGATTTCTTCCAGATCTAAATCTAAGAGTCCATAGTCCTATGATTTTTTTTTTTTTACCATCCTGGTCATCTTCTTTTATACGTCCTCTGATGTGCCTCCATTAAAATGTTGTGGCCAAAATCAAACATAATATTCCAGGAGTTCATTGACTAGTATAGAGCATATTGGGATACTACATCCCTTGATCTGTACATTTTACTTCTATTGATAGAGCCAAAAGTCATAGTCAGTTTCTTGTCCAGATTTCAGGATAAATACTATCTCATTGGGAGAAATGCTAGAGTTTGGCCATGATGTCTTCTCTTTGGACATGGGGGCAGGGGTGGTGGTTGAGAGGAGGGCAATTGTCTCTGACACTTGTCTTTAAAATTTCATGCATTAAAAAATTCATCAAAACATTCATGTCATTTAAGTAAAATATTAAAATAATCCCTGAAAACTGTGTGGAGACAGTACTAGATCAACTTTACAAATATGGTAAACAACTTTGTTGGTATAGTTGATACATTACATCATAATAGTTGAGATTTTTAGATCTAACATTTTCCTAAGCAGCACGAAGAATTTTTTTTAATTAAGGGTACAACACTTAAACCTGCTAATAAATGAATAGTTCACCATTAAACTATCAATAATTCCTTTTCCTTTGCTGTACCTGCAGGTCACCAGGGTCCATTTTACCACTGTGTCCACAGAAATCCTCATGGGCTGTGCTGCCTCCTTCCAGCAAGTAAGACACCTTTGGGGGGGAAAAAGAATTTTAAGAAGCATAGAGCTAGTCAACAATATAGACTACGGCCGACTACCAAAGTAGTGAACTACCCATTACTGATGGTGTTCAAGCATTTTAAATGGATGTGCAGTTCTAAACTTTGCTCTATTAGAGAAGCCAGTCAGTCATTGGAAACATGATAAAACTGACAATCAAAGCCACAAAAAAAATGGAGTCAATTAACTTTGAGAAAACACGTTAAGTGCCATGCTTCAGAATACTTTGGCTGTCTAGCATGTACTGAAACATACAACAGAAACTAAGCCAGCAGCACAGTTTTCCTTTCATTACATGGGATGGTAAGATCTTAGCCAACTGACAGCCTGTGCTAACCTCTACTTAAGAGCTGGTTTAGGAATCCAAAAGGTTTCACCTCCAACTCAGAAGAGAAAATCAAGAATAAGGGATCCTTTGTTCTTTAACTGTTTTTTTTTCCTATTCTTTCCCTCTTAGTACCTTTTCTCCTTTCATACAAAGGACAAACAACAACACACACCTTTTCGTATTGCTCCTTTTCTCTGTTTAGTTTTTCCATTTTACTCTTATTCTATACAGGATAAAAGTAGCAAAAAAAAAAAAACCAAACCCAAAAAACAAGAAGCTGATGAAAAATGGAAAAGATCTGTAAAAGTCATTTTGACAAATTGTTTTCCTCATCAAAGACAATGGAACCACCATTCTCGGTCCTTAGCAATACAGTCCTAGGTATGCTTGTAGAAGAGATAGAGACAACCCTAAAGAGAACAAAGATGGGAAAGCAGCTGAATTGGACCAACTATGGTAGAGGAGAACCATTCTAGAGACAATTTAACAATTATGAGAGGCTAAGGAACTGACATACAGTATAGGGTATTTGAAGGAAAAAGAAGATATTAAAGGCATGAAAAATGTTGGACCCTTTTTAATACCAAAAGAAAGTAATAGAGAAATCAGTAATGACTACCCTATGTGCCTGCTCTCCCATCTCTAAAAAAACATTGTAGGAGTCATCTTTATGCAAATTAAGGGTATCTCTGATAAGATTATTAGTAGAAACAAATAGGCTTTCACAAGCAATATTCATCAATGGACCCCATCTTTACCATCTCACAATTAGCTAAGAATTGTAGAGAATATAAGATATATTATTTGTGGATTATGGAAAACAATTTGATTTGGTAGAACAATAACCATCTTTCAAGTTCTTTTACAGCAAGATGTCTCCCAGAAGATATAGCAACAGAAAAAAACAAAACAAACCAATACCTTATTCAGTGACTTTCTAATCATAAACACCAGATGAGGCATAAAAGAAAAAGATATATTCTGGCCATTTGGGTATTTGTTAGTGTGATGGAAAATATTCAGTAGATAATCCATGTCAAGGAGGGATTCCCTATGAATGGTAAAGTGGGAGAACATGAATGAGTAAGACTGACACAGAACATGCAGGAGTGAATGGATCAATAAACTCACAAATTTTAATATTTCAAAAGAGAATAAGCTGTAGGAAGGCCATCAACCTCAATGGATGGTATTATGCAACTTAAATCAAGCCCCAGAATACTGCAGAACCTCCTGGAAGAGATCTATAATCACTCAAAGGAGTTTGGCCTGTTCATCCAAACAGAAAAGACAAAGTAGATGAAGAATGTCTTTTGTTCAGATGTCAACATGCATTTGGATGGTCACCATATAGAGCTTGTCTGACAGTATATAAATCTGAGACTGATGGTACAATGAGGTAGGCCCAGAATTAAAAAAATGAGGAAGATTGCTTTTGAGAAATTACAGAGCATTTTTGCTGACTCCAAGCATCCTGTAATAGCAAAGACCCAGTCTAACATTTACTGGTGTTGCTATATGGCAGCAAGTTGTGAAACATAACTGTATCTAAAAAATTAAGTATAAGTTCTTTGGGAATACAAAAGGACAATGAAGAGGCCATGGTGTGTGTGGACAGGTTAAAACACATAACCAATAAGGAACACTAAAGAAGAGCAAGAGGAAATGATATTATTAGGAACTGTATGTCAGGAGAAGAACATGGGCTAGTCAAGTGGCAAAAGCAATGGATAAGCAGAGAGCTCCACTGATCCCTTTCCAGTGTTGGGAGAAGCCAAAGAAGGTTCCTAGCAAGCTGGGTGGACTGTGGGAGAACATGAGTGACAAGGAATGGACAAGCATGGATGGATTTTGATATGTACCATCAGGCAGGTTTCATGACTCAATAAACTCACAGATTTAAATATTTCAAAAGAGAATAGAGTGTAGAAAGGTAATTGACCTCCATTACAATAATTTTACACAGAACATTAACCTATGAAAATCAACTGCCATAAAGAAGAGATAAAAACATCCTAAAAATGGTTTAGTTAGGAAACACTTGATTTACATGATAAAGCGGAAAGAGATGGAAGCCAAAGGTTACACCTATTTAAAATAAAAATGCATCCGTGAAAACTTCTTGAGAGAAAAGATGAAACATTATGAACAATATCAGCTCATAAAGCACAGAGAAAGAGCGGGTAAACCAGCTTAAAAATATTTGCCTTGATGTTTACTTGCAAAGGAACTATTTTACACTAGTTCAGGCTCTTAATAAAGGAAAAAGAAGAAGCAACCAAATTAGATCAAGTATACATAAGCAGATAAAAGTGATTAAGAAAACAATAACAAATGACCTATATGCCTGCTTTTCCCATCAACATAAAATTATTATGAAAACCAGCTTTACGTATGCATTATGTATATTCTTGATAAGAGTATTCAGAGGGAACAGTCAGGCTTTTGAAAGCAACATTCCAAAGTAGACATTTTCCCTGAAGCATGTACAGAATGCAAGAGTCCGTGTACTGTGTTTATTGTTTGCTGATTATATGAAAAGCATTTTATTCAGTAGAGCAAATATCACCTTAAAGGCTCTTCTCCAACATAGTATCTCTCATCTATCCATCACAATCAATCATTCAAGATTCCTTGAACTATATTGCAGAAGTAACCTTGCTCATTGACTCTGATCACGGACATTAAACGAGGCACAAAGCAAGGAGATGGGTGCTCTCTAAAGGTGCTGGGATTGTGATTGAGGAGATTCAGTGGAGAGTACAAGTTGAAGGATTCCCTGTGTATGGTGAGATACTTCATATGTTTGCGTTTGTAGATGACATTATGCTGAGTGCATCAAGCCCCAGAATACTGCAAAGGCTCCTGGAAGACATCCATAACCACTCAGAAGAATTTGGCCTAACCATCCACATAGGTTAAAAAAAAGTGGATGAAGAATGTGCACTGCCTAGCTGATTGTTGTTTGTCCCCTGTTTCTGAAGAGGACCAATGACATTGGTGATGTGCAAACTGGATGGAGAGCAATGGTGTCAAACTCATTTTGAAACAGATGCCATTAAACCTATACATATACATAAGTATCCCTGCAGACCACATATTGACTTAGAAAACCACATATTAATATTACCTGTGTTCTACTATATTTAATTTTGTTTGTTAAACATTTCCCAATTACATTTTAATCTGGTGGGCCACACTTAGGAATGTTGTGCAGCACATGTTTCATACCTTTGCTATAGAGTATCTCCATCAGTACATAAATGTTTGAGACAGGGAGCAGCTAGGTGGGCAGTGAATAGAGCACCGGCCCTGAAGTCAGGAGGACCTGATTCAAATCCGGCCTCAAACCAAACACTTGACACTTACTAACTGTGTGACCATGGGCAAGTCACTTAACCCTGATTGCCTCACCAAAAAAAACAAACAAAAAAAAAACCCCAAAAATAAATGTTTGAGACAGAAAGTAGAAGCAGATGAGCTGAATCCAGACTTAAATAGGAGGAAGAGGGTACAATGATTACCTTGAGAACATTGCAAGCCTCATTTAGTGATCTCACACTTCTCCTAGAAACAAAAATCCATCTTTGTAACACAAATATTCTAACATTATTATATGGCTGTGTCACAGAACACAACGGTCTCCAAACAAGGGAAAATCAGCATCACACTGAGGTAAAGAGAGAAATGCATGTTTGGTATAAGAAGGTTGTAACACATGATAAATAAGGAACTTCAAGGAGGAACAGGAGAAAAGGATTCCTGCTGCTGGCTTTTGTAGGAGGGTAGGTTAAAAAAAAGAGCTAGAAAGAAAGAAGGAACTGAGTTGAATAAAAAGGAGAAAGAAATTGCATAGCTAACTTAGGGAGACTGGAGTTAGGAAGAATTAAGTGTCTATAAGGGAAACAAAACCTAGGCTTTAATGGGAAAAATGGGGGAGGAGATGAAGCGGAGGAGAGGAGACTTGGAGCTTGTCAGGATGTTGGACAGAAGAAAGGTACACAGTAGAGAAAAGGATAACTATACAACTGGAACTTAAACACAAATTGGAGGCTCTTTTCTCTCTCTCTCTCTCTTTTTTTTTTTTTTTGTGAGACAATTGGGGTTAAGCGACTTGCCCAGGTTCACACAGCTAGTAAGTGTCAAGTGTCTGAGGCTGGATTTGAACTCAGGTCCTGCTGACTCCAAGGCCAGAGCTCTATCTACTGCACCACCGAGCTGCCCCCTAGAGGCTCTTTTTGAAGAAGAGGCAACTGTATACTTAAGAAACTTCTTCTCCTTCAAAGAATAATGCAATGGAGCCACAAAAGCCGTAATATAAGGGGCCGTCTAGTAACTAATGGTTAAAGAAAGAAGAGAAGAATAGCTGTAGCTGGTGACTCTCTGCTTAGGGTTTTGCGGGCAGGTATCTAAAGGTGACCTCTTTAGTGAACAACAACAATAACAAAGAAACAAAAACAAAAACAAAACCTGCAATCTTCACAGGACGTGCATTCGAGACGTAACAGAAAGTTTCCCAAGACTTTGAGATCAATGGAAACTCTCACTTCTAGTGACTCACAAGGGCAGAAAGCAAGCTACCAGGAAGGCATTAAAAAGTATTGCTAGTGATGGTAAATTATACAGAGTATGGGAGCAATGCT